TACAATTGACAAACTCACATAGGTTATGTTTACTACTTAAGAACAGCTGATGAGAGGGGTGTTATGTAAACAAACATGTGTACCAACTGTTGGTGATGAAATATTTCATTTGTTGAAAACTCAATATACATATATATAATATAATGATACTATATCTTGAAAACAAGAGCTAATATATAATTTTTATGGTCACTTTCGGTTTTAACACGTGGAAATACATTAAAATCATCTAATTTCAACCCCGAAACAAAAACTTTGTTGTGTTGTGATTAAAAATACAAGATACGTAAAAATCATAAAAAATAGAGCACTTTCAGTACTTTCATAAATATATTCGTGATTCAGGCACTCGAAAACATACAAATTTGCAAAAATATCCAGGGCAACACAAAATTTTTTTAATTTTTTTTTGTAGAGCTGTGTAATGATCCAAAATTATATTTGATTACATTTTGGAAAACTCCCAGAATATGCATTGAGTACCTACTTGAATATCGTCTGTTAATTCCAATTTTATCAACAATAATTTTGTTAAATGTTTATTTCATTCAAACTCATGATTTACTGACTTTTCTAGTCTTGTCAGCAGTGTCAGCATCATTAACAATCGAAGAACGTTTCTGCTGTCCTTTCGCCATTGATTCGTACGCTCCGCCTAAAAATAAACGTATCAGGCGGGCATTCCGTACAGTCTCCGCCATCTTAATGGATGATGACAATGACCATGAATCTAAATCCGGTAAAAATAAGAATTATGCGCTGGCAATCGACCAAATACTTTTAGGAGCAGCCTGGTATTAGTTAGTCCGACTTTACAACTGCGCTATTCCGACAATGTCTCGAGACGAAATCCTTTCATTCCGAGTGACAAGTGACGGCTCGTTTGCTTATCGAATCAGTGAGGTAATGTGGCAATCACCTCGCTCATTATAATTATAGTCTATCCATTCCCAATTGGAACAGCAAAAAAAATAAGATTACAGTCATAAACATTTCTTGTCTGTGGCCCCTAGTCGCCCAGATAGTTAGTAAACGTGCTATCAAACGTAGTTGAGGAGTGCAGGCTCGGCTAGCTGGACTGGCTGAATACTAATTTTTTGTCCGTTTCACAATATTTCTTTATCAGTGCCGTGTGTTCGTGGGGTTAGGTGAGGTAGTGAGTGGTTATGCAAACCGATTTTTGAAAACTTTTTCTAGGGATCAATTACCCTAACACCAAACTGATATTTTTGCACTCGACGCGCGTTTCGCTAACAAGGTTAGCATCTTCAGGATAAGCAAATTGATACTGAATCTGAAGACAAGGGTTAGCAGTTTATGTACTGAATATACAAATTAATTTGTCAACAATAGATATGGATACTTTTTGAAACGAATGATAACGTTACGTGTGAGGAATCTGTGTCAATCGACAGGGATCCGGAATTTGAAAATAAGGACTTACATGTTCAAGTTCAGCGAGTAATTTTAAATATTCATGAATGCTTGAAGAAGGAAAACTGTCACACTTCACAGAATGCTATTGTGAATAGAATACGCGAGTTAACGAAACTATCTCGTTCGACAGTTCTTCGAGTCATTAAAATAGGGGATGTCATTGACCATGCAATGAAACGAAAACAAAGGAATAAAAAATTCGCAAACGTCGATGGTGCTACAAAAGATGTGATTCGGCGAACAATGTATGGTATATACCAAAAAAATGAAGTACTAACTGTTTGGGCAAACTACTTATTTTCGGCAAAATAAGATTCTATTTTACTTTTCTGCTTTTTAATCAAAAACAAAACTGACAACAATGATGGTAACTATATAAAACAATAAATAATCTCAACTTCAATACTAGATGTGAAATTAATTCACAACACTAACCTTGGAAATGATTTGGTATAAATTACTCGACTATCCCGATTACAATTACAAATCTTTAGAAACTCTACGAGATGACTTATTGTCTTGTGGTTTCAAATATAAAAAATTGAACAATCGGATGGTCATATTGGAATCGACACGCATTGTTCAACTCCGACAAGAATATTTGAGGCGAATGAAAAGCTACCGAGAATCCAGCAGACATATAATCTACAGTTCGAAATGTGGCCGTCTCACCTTCTAGATTCGAACAGACGGTGGGCCATCAGAAAAAATATAACCGGAGAAGGTAAGTTTGATGAACGCTATAGAATTCTGCCGAGTTATGATTTGGGCGTGATGAATAGAAGAGTAGATAAACCTAACGAGTTCTGTCATAAAACCCTGTGTATTTTTTTGCTAGCCACCTTCCACGTCGTACATGGCATATATTGATTTTTTTAGACAAGTTTTTGATATCTTGGGTTGCATTATTGTAATTTTCTTAGAGGTCTCAAAATGTTTTTCGATGAATAATACAGTCCACTCGCTGATATTTTCATGGCTGAATTCGTATGACACTCACAAAAAATCAACGCTCTGAATTATGATCAATTGCAGAAATAGTGAAAACGGATTTTAGTAGATGAAATGTGCTGTGTTAGTTGCGTTTTTTTAACATTACTGGGTGAATTCAACAAAATGCTTTTCCAAACCAAACTCCCGTTCAACCATGGCAACTAGCTACATTTTATATGTGTAATCTACGCAGTATATGTGGAATAGATGCAAATTTCTTGTTGTTTTTTTCAATATTTTTGACAATTGCTTTTCCTTGTTTATTTGCAGATGAATTGGAACATAATCCGAAGAGACAGAAATTGGAAAATTTGAGGAGTATGCAGGAATCTGATAGTAAGTCAAGTTTTTTCTTTTGTTCTTAGACTGTACTTTTTTCGCAATACCCTATTGGGAATTGCGAATGAATATTCAGAGTTTATAGTAATGAATACAAGACCTTGGGTTTTAATGGAGATTCATCTATCAAATAGGCCGTTTCGACCAATTCCTACCTTTCCGATGTTAGTTTGAGTTTGAACGTATGCCTTCGTCAAATCTCGTTGATAAAAACTGTGCTAAACAATAACAAAACGTTCAAGTATTATATTTGGCGGTAGTTACCCTAAACTTCCATCTTACCTTGGATTGCTCCGACTAAGAAGAACAACATAGAGAAAACTTACGTGTTCCTTTCAACTTTTGAAAAACCTATTCGGAAAAATTGAAAGACAACCATTTTTGAACTTCAATATAGTTTCAGCTCATCAATATAGTGGCCCTCTCAATCCATACCAGTCAAACCACAATATCCCCCTCAATATCACGGAACAACCGCAGGCTAAGGTAAGGAATCATTTTGCATTCATATCCGACCTTGAAAATAGTATTTATACTGATTTACAGTTCATTATTTTATATTTCATTCCGCTTTATTGTTATGTTGGCTATTTTCTTATCGTTCATGTGTCTACAGAATTTATTGGATTCGCCGTCCCCATTGAATCCTGAAAAAGATCCGATGAATTTGGACAGCGATGAAATAAAGATGTTAGCGAGCAATGTGGACCCACAATGTCCGTTGCCGGAGCTTCAACTGTCTTCAAGGATTTCCGACGATGACGATATGAAGGACTCATTGACTAAGCTGACTAACCTGTCGTTGAACCAGTTCGATTGAGAAGTTTCACAGCGAGAAACCGATTAAATATCTGGAAATGAAGATCAATTGAGGACTTCTGATCAAGTCAAATTTGACCCTTGCACTCTCAGACTGAAAAACTAGTTATTCTTCTAAGACAATAGCTTGAATATACCTTATCAGATAATGATTTCTTTTGGAGCACATTTATTTTTCATGCTGGCTACTCTGTGCGCCTATTTGTCATAATTGTCACTTGTCACATTTAGACAATGTTTCTATTGTACATTTTTGCTGTTTGAAAGCAGTTTAGATAATATCGTTCATATCAATAAGGATTTTTTTGTACACATCTATTTTTCCTGAGTCGATTGTTCTATGTATTTGTTATTAGTGTCACTTGTCATATGTGTTTTGTCTTTCAATGTGTAGCCAACTCAGAAAAAAAAAGTGTTCCTAGCAGTGGCGCAATGATAAATATGGATTGGCTAGCAACTAAAATAAGAAGGCCAAAACGTGTGTGAATCGCAGGGGGAATATATGAAACAGTGACGTCACGCCCAGTCGAAATTATCATGTTTATGGCTCCTAAGGAAATCCTTATCTGACGTGGTCTAGTGATAAAGTAAAACTATTATTAGATGAGTATTTCTGTGATAGTCTTGCATCTAAGATGATTTAGACAATATTTTTAATTTTCCTGATTATTTGCACTGAGCGTTTNTTTAGCATACGGGTGATTGGCGAGTTATCAGAAAGGCCGATAAAGAATATTCTCTTGTCCTGTCTACGCAGGTTTACCTTAGGCACCAACAATTTTACATAGTTGACCAGAGATGATCCCTTGTACTTTACATTATTAATTATATAGTATACAAAAAGAACATCCTGTAATGCACGTCTGCTCTGTAAAGTAACAATGTTAAATTCCTTGAGCATGCTTCTGTAAGACACCATAATGGGATAGCAGCCATAAATTTTGACATAAAGATATCTAAGAAATCTTTTTTGAACTTTTTCAATCAAATCTGCGTTGGTCTCTCCCTGTGGTGACCAAATAACAGAAGCATACTCAAGATGAGGTCTAACTAGAGCATTAAATAACTTTACAATACACCCAACATCTCTAAAGTTTTTTGTATTTCTAATAACAAAACCAAGAATCTTATAGGCTTTGTTGACAATATATTCATAGTGAGTGTTGAATTTGAGGTTACTTTGAAAATAAACACCTAAGTCCTTACACTCAGACTTACGCATAAGTGGAACGTTTTCTACTTTGTAAGAAGCAGAAATATAGTTAATTTTCCTTGTGAATGTTATAACTGAGCACTTATCGATATTTAAGAACATTTTGTTACTTTCAAACCACCTGCAAACCGAATCAAGATCTTCCTGCAATTTCATGCAGTCTTCTAGGCACGTTATTAGCTTAAACAGCTTAAAATCATCTGCGAATATAAGGCAAAATGAGTGTAAAATGCAGTGAGCTAGGTCATTGATGAAAATTATGAAAAGAAGTGGGCCCAAGTTGCTACCCTGTGGCACCCCAGATGTTACAGAAAACCTGTCAGATAATGACTGCCCCACCCTGACTTGCTGATATCTGTCAAGCAAATAAGATTTTATAAATTGCAGAGCTGCCTCAGAAAATCCAAAATCACCAAGTTTCTTTAATAGTATGTTATGATTAACTTTATCAAATGCCTTTGCACAATCAGTCATAATTGAATCAAGTTGCTCCTTTTTATTAATAGCTTCAGCAGCAGATTGAGTGAATAAAAAAAGGTTCGTAGCTGTAGATCGATCTGGGAGAAAACCGTGTTGTTGTTCTGCAAATTTAAATTTAAAATGAGTGTAGATGTCATCATAGATGATTGTTTCGAAAATTTTAGCCAATGTATTCATAATACTTATTGGCCTGTAGTTTTTAACTTGATTTTTGTCACCAGATTTAAAAATTGGTGTAACAATTGACATTTTTAAAGCAGAAGGAAACACTTTACATTTAAGAGATTCATTAAATAGATAAGTTAGAGGTTGTACAAGAAAGTCAATACATCCCTTATAAATGTATGGAGGAATATTGTCCACACCACAGCATTTTTTTGGTTTTAATTTCTTGATACTGTTTCTGACTGTATCCTCAGAGATATTTGAAAAAGTAAAATGCCCTGTCGGGCCCCAGACATAATCGTTATCAGAGGACTCATAGACTGAACTAAAATATTGTGCAAAGGCATCTGCTATACCCTTTGGCTCTATTTTTGGCATATTCTCATAATGCATTACCTGAGGAATGCCACTTTGCTTATTTTTAGACTTAATAAAAGACCAAAAACTGCTAGAATCTATACTAGCATTATCCTCTACAAAACGCTGATAATTCAGATACTCAAGCCTAGTTTGGACTTTGATCTCTTTCCGGAGAGAGCTGTACTCATGTTGATTCGATGTGTGAAACACGTGGTCATATTATCTTACGTTTGCCTCCATACTAATGTGTGTTCAATCCAATTGAAATGGTTTGGGCCAAATGAAAGAAAGCTTGCGGAAATGTAATCAGTCACCGACTTTGAATGCTGTAGTAGTGCTTGACAATATAAGGCGAGTGGTGAATGAAGTAGGTAATAGTGATGTGTGGCCCACGTTATAAAAGAAGAGAACAAATATTATGTGCAAAGTTCCAGCGCTTACTGCGCAACCTCTGCTGCAGGCAACCAGTGAAGCAATTGAACACAGGTTTGTGTTTAATCACCCCTACAAAATACAAATAAAACAGAACACAGAGTCAGATGCTACAAATAAAATACGCATATATACAGACGGCTCAAAAACCAAAGAAGGCTCAGGATGTGGAGTGTACTCCAGATCACTAAGCTTAGAGTGGGGAATGGGAAAAAATACCAGCGTGGTCCAAACAGAACTGGCTGGTATCTCAATCGCCACAAAAGAAATAACCACGAAAGGAACTTCTGGCAGAAACGTAACAATCTGCACTGACAGCAGACAAGCCCTATTAGCCTTGAACAGACAACGTGTAACCTCAGAGCTAGTATTAGAGTGTCACCAAGATTTAGCCAAAGCCTCGGTAGATAATAACATTATCCTGAGGTGGGTTAAAGAGCACGACAGAAGTAAAGGTAATCGCATTGCCAACTCTTTAGCCAAGGAAGCGGCTGGACTAAGAATTTTAGGACCCGTAATCTTGCCATGATCACCCTGGGCAACCCTGGAAAGCTGGCGCCGAAGAAATATCTGGCGATGACCAGGAAAAATCTGCTAGTGGACACAACTCTACGCAGGATGTGTGAACAGGAAGATGAAACTGTCAGGCATGTCCTATGCGAGTGCCCGGAGTTATCGTCAATAAGAGAGTGTGTGTTCAGCGAGTCTTGGCCTACTGCCGATATGCCCAGTGACCTATCCATCTTCCTGGAAAGGACAGGATGGACGATGACCTAGGAGGACAACTCCTCGGGAGGATGGCCTAAGTGCCGTGGGCTTACACTCACCCCCCTACTCTACAGATACAGATACCCGGGGAGGCAGGCAGCGTTGTTCATATATTTTCGGGTGTTGAATTTGAAGGCAAGACTGTCTATTACATCATAACTTTTTCAATATCACGTTACCCAGAAGTCTGAGTATTGGGACAATCTGTATAACCGCTTTCAATAATATAAATGACGAAGATAAACCGTTCTTGGTTCAACTTGTAGGTAAAAACAAGTCATTAGTGTCTCAGAAAAACATAGTCAAGGACAACATCTTATCTACCTAGTATTATTCGCAAAACCACAATAAAATCGTCCAAAATGCTGCCTCAAATATAAAACTGTAACTTTTCACTTCACATCTGTTTTTATCCCGACTGAAAAAAACTGTAGTCAAATCCAGTCGACGTTCTGTTTGTCCTCAACTTTTTTACGATCTATTTGCTGTCTGGCTAGAAACAAGGTACACTAGGTCAAGGTTTGATTGTCTTTATAAATATACGTCAAAAAATAGAAACACGCATATTCAAAATGTTCCATTGACTGGGCAACATCGTTAATGGCAATACCCGAAGCCAAATATTTTCCTGATAATCAGCTACACGAACCATTAAAATTACCAAAAGCATGTTAATGATAATTTTAATATCGGTTTTATGATTTTCTTCAATTAACATTAACCCCAAAAAAAACGAAGTTGTTACAAGTGCTCGGTCTAGCGAACCCGGCCATAAAAAGTTTCTATACCATAAAATTTTCATTAATATCATTACGTTTAACCATGCACCGTGTCGGCAAATAACAATTCATGCATATACATCCCTCCGAAACTCTGTCAGAGCGACACTGACAAATAACCTATAAATAGACAATAATATTTCAACGAATTTCAGTGAATACATCTGACAATAATATGTTTATTCCGACGCTCATCGGCAATTCCTATGAAAACAATTTGCATCCAACGTAAAAAACATGTTTTTTTCCGTGAATTACTTTCCAAAACAATGATGTAATGAACCGCTTTGTGGGGAGCCCGCGTGCAGAGATGGCCTTAGGGGCCAGATGTGTGTGACAACTTAAAAAAAATTCAAGTTACTCAACGTCGCAAACAACATAACCTGTATTTTCTTCATTACATTGTCCAAGTTGGGATGAGAGTTTTTATAATAGAGTCAATTTATTGAACGGGTGAAATTTAGGTTTACATTATTTATTTTAATAATTAATAGACTGGCTGAATACTAATTTTTTGTCGTTTCACAATATTTTTTTATCAGTGCCGTGTGTTCGTGGGGTTGGGTGAGGTATTGAATGGTTTTGCAAACCGATTTTTGAATACTTTTTCTAAAGATCAATTATCCTAACACCAAACTGATATTTTTGCACTCGACGCGCGTTTCGCTAACAAGGTTAGCATCTTCAGGAGAAGCAAATTGATACTGAATCTAAAGGCAAGGGTTAGCTGTTTATATTCCTAAATATACAAATTAATTTGTCAACAATAAAGATGGCTTTTTGGAGACCTTTTGAAACAAATGATAACATTACATGTGAGGAATCTGTGTCAATCGACAGGGATCCGGAATTTGAAAATAAGGACTTACATGTTCAAGTTCAGCGACTAATTTCAAATATTCATGAATGCTTGAAGAAGGAAAACTGTCACACTTCACAGAATGCTATTGTGAATCGAATACGCGAGTTAACGAAACTATCTCGTTGGACAGTTCTTCGAGTCATTAAAATAGGGGATGTCATTGACCATGCAATGAAACGAAAACAAAGGAATAACAAATTCGCTGATGGACGAAGAAGAAAAGGACTGTTTTGAGTTTGACGATAGTCGTGTCACGAAGTGTTCTGGCGATGCATTGCATTTATTGGAGCCTCTGGAGACACCGTACATTTTGTTTTATAAGAGAGAGGACATTGTTAAATCAAGATCTTCAGATGATGTGGTGCTGCAGGTTTTTCCGGGTTTTCCTGCAGCTGAAAAAGCAAATGCGCCACTGGAATCAATGAAGTCGCCCCGGAGCGCCAATTAATTTTTATTGTTGTTTTTATTTTATTTTTATCATTGTTTCAACAAAATGTTCAATCTTTAAATAAATTCGAAGCAATACTACAGAAAATTCACGAATTAATACAACAACTACTCTCCTATTTAACAGTTACTGAACGTCAATCGAAATAATGACATTTCA